CTACGTAAGCGAGCAACTGACCCTGTAGTCTTGACTACACTCATCTCCATAGCCAAACCCTTCTACTCTTCCTTCGTAGCCATGGAGGTCATCTCTCTCGTCTCCAGCCGCCTCCTCGACTCCCCAACTGCTCCGCTACTCGTTCTCAGGGTGGAGCAGCATACTTATTGCTAGGTAAGCGAGCAACTGACCCTGTAGACTAAGTGATATACTGGCTGGGCCATTAGGCCCAGCAGCCAAGCTCCCGTTTCTCCAGTGGCTCTATGCCCCATCCCGCTTGCTTCTAGGCCTACTGTTCCTCTGGAAATGTGGGAAAATCAGGAAACCATTGCAGGCTGTAATCTCCCTTGGGTTCAGACTCACCTCATCTCGTACTACGGTAGTACAACACATATGCGCTATGTTCGGGGGAAGACGGTAGTCTATGTTCAGTCCGATACCGTCATTACTTTTGCTGGTCAAGTCTACTGACACACAGGGCCTCTCCAAGTTTGTGCAAAATCACGACAAGGTCCCTGCGATTTTATCTCTGTTGCTGTCTGTCCTACTTTGTCTTTATGTCTCTACACTCCGCCAACTTTCAGTTCTACGGTCCCATCTAGGCTTTTGAATTGCAGACAAATCCTCCCTTTGGAGATCAAGTCCAATCTCAGGCCTCAGGTATCCTTGTTTTTTTCCTTTTCTTTCTTTTTTCCCTTTCCTTGCAATGAAAGCATCTTGGTGACTGTCTCTGCCGTCCGATCGCCTGGCCGGTGCAGGGCTCACCATTGAGCAGGCTCTTGTCTACGCACGGGGAACAGCATGCGCTGGGAACCGGGCCCATCGTCCCATAATACAACAACAGTGGAAGACATTCAAACCATACTTGCGGCGCATCACGTGCGCATGTGAGTTGTGCACGTGCAGCGCATACGGTCCACTACAGTTATTACGGCCGATTAAGAATTTGAAAAGGGCAGGCTGTGGTAGCCAAACGTGCCCCTCCTTTCTGAGAATTGTAAGTGCACAGGAAAACAAAAATGGGGGCCACATCGTACTCGTTGGATCCAGTCTCTT